TCGCTGTGATGAGGTGGGCGGGAAGGGGGCATCCAGACTTAACAGAACCGATGAGCCAGCCAGCCCGCCCCGTACACGCAGACCAAACCCACCACAGAAGAGCTACTTCCTTTTACTGCTTTATTAAGAGACCTTTGTTTCCTCTATACATCCTGTTAATTATTAGAATGTTCCTTAAGTTGCTTTTGTACCATGAGTTTGTTTGATTTCCATTTTTAAAAGGGGGGGGGGGGGTGGAGAGGAAAAGGAGGGAAACCAGCCAGCCAGCCAGACTCTGATTTTCTCTAAGAATTCATCTAAACTTCCCCTCTAGGCATCTGAGCATCATAGGACCCTCCAGCCTCAAGGGAGCTAGAGCTGCAGAATGAGGAGGGTGAGCTAGGGCCTCAGTTTACCTAATGTGGACTAATTGCTTCCAATATCCCTGGCTACTTACTTACTTATTTGAGACACACAGAGAGAGGCAGAGACACAGGCAGAGGGAGAAGCAGGCTCCATGCAGGGAGCCCGATGTGGGACTCGATCCCATGACCCTGGGGTCACATCCTGAGCAGAAGGCAGACGCCCCGCCCCTCAGGGCTTCTTGATAGCAAGTATTATTCACTGCTTTATCCCTGATCTCTAGCACAGGGCTCGGAACTCTGTAGACACCAGTGTTTCCTGGATTATCATGCCGAGGCCGCACCCAGAGAAGCTGGACCCAGGGCTTCCACCCCAGTTTGCCCCTTCCTCCCCACCAGTCACCCGATGGAGACTGACCTCCTCCCGGAGGTGAGGGTGGGACAGATAAGGGCTAGGAATGCGTGGGCAGGAGGAAGGCTCGGAGGCGAACAGGTGGGGCTGAGGCTCAACAGGCCTATGGGCAGCGCCTGGAGCGACGTCAGCTGGCTCGGCCCCCAGGACGAGCACGGCGGCAGGTGGGATGGGGGGGCAGGCCAGCTCTCCCTCCGCGGCTCCCTCCGCGGCTCCCTCCGCGGCTCCCTCCTGCCCTCTCTCCGCAGAATTTCCAGTTCGACCTGCCGGGCCCCTCCCCTCCGCACCCATCTCCCCAGTCCCGGGAAGGCCCCACCCGGCGCGCCCTCCGGGGCCTGGCATCAGGCTTCCGGTCAGCCAGCTGCTTCCTCCTGGCCTCCCCCCAACATTGCGAAACTCCTGCCGCCGCCGGACTTTAGACAGAAACCCTGCTTATCGGGGAGTCGCAGGCAGATGAACTCTGGGTTCTCCATGCCTGGAAAGGCCCAGTAGGCATCCACTCACGAGGCTTCCCCGCCCCCCACGATGCTGCACCCTCCCCCCCAATTACATCTGACTAGTGGTCATCCAGGTGTTTCCTGAACCTCCCAAAAGGAAGCGAGGCTGAGTTTAGAGGGCCCCAAGGTCGCTCCTCCACACCAAAGAGGAGGAAAACAAGCTCCATTACTTCCTACTCGATCACACAAAATGTGTATGGCTTCCACATCCACCCTCGCGCAAAGGGCTCAGCCCCTTCGGTGTCCGCAGAACAGGTGGCCCTTGACGGGTGACTTGCGGGGGGGATCCTAACGACCAGGGCCACCGGCGGTGAGGGAAACGCACAGGAGCCCGGCGCGGCAGGGGGTCTGCTGGTGCCTCCCCGTCAGTGCAGCAGCTCCAACCCCAAACCCAAACGAGGCCGGAGACCCCACACCCCAGACGAACCGAGACCACAAAGAAACCGGAGAGAGACATCATCGCAAAGTGAAAGTGTCCTGGGCCAGGAGGTGAGGGCACAGCGCTGGAGTCCACCTCCCCCTCCGCTCATTTCCTCCTCCCGTGGCCCCCCCTCAGTCCCCGGGTTTCAGGTTTCAGGTTTCGAGGGAGCACGTCTTTCCTGGGAGTAATTCACCCGGCGGCTAGGAGGGGAAAGGGGAAGCCACTGGCCTCCGTGCAGTGGGAGGCAAAGCCAGCAAAGCCCAACGGCAAAGGTGGAAGGCTTGCGCCCCAAACACCAGCAGAGAACATGGGCACCCGCCGACTGACCCAGCTGCCGCCTCCTGGAATGCCTCAGTGGGGCCACACCACCCCAGTGGGATGGGGTGGGGGGTAAGAACCAGGGTTCCAATCCAGGTCCCCCTTCCTTCCCTGTGCTTTTACACCAAAAGTCATCCATTCTCACGTGGCCTTGCTAAGCAGAAATGCCTCTCCCTGCCTGGAGATTGCTGGAAACTTTTTCTAAGGCAGGTTCCCCCGGGAGAGGGAGACTGTGGTTTTGGTCACTGGTTGTGGTTTTCCCAAGCCCGGTTCCCTCGGTGTTTGGGCTCTAATCCCTGTCCCAGCGGCTCAGGCTTTCCTCTCCACTAGGCTTCCCAGGCTGGGCCTGGGCTTTGCTGGACTTGATCATACCCCACCCTTTCTTATTCCTCCCTGATGGCAGAGCCCATGGCGAGAGGCAGCCCCAGTGGGAGAAGAGAGGACACGAGGGCACCCACACATGCCACCCATGCTCCAGACATCCCAGAGCCAGAGGACAGACCACACACCCAAGAAGGAGCCCTTACCTTTTCACCTTTGCCGTTTGGGATCTAGCAGGGGAGACCCTCCTTCCTTTGACCAACTCTCCTGGGGCAGCATTCTTTCCTCCTCCCCAAATCCAAAGGGGTTAACAGCTGCCCAGTAACAGTCATCCCTTCGTGTACACGTAACGTAGCCATTATCCTGGTCGACCCACAGGCCAAGCCTTAGGACTCCTGCTCCACGGATGGAAAGACTGGGCACTCGCCTAAGATCACAAATAAGGCAGAGCCAAACCAGAGCCCCGGGAGGTCACCTGGCTCCCATTTCCATCCTCTTTGTACTAACCAAATCACTCCCCCCAGGTCTAGCCCGATGTAAATGTGACATGGTCAGGTCCCCCATGCCCTGGGCACGTCCCATCGCCTCAGGCTGCCTCCGAATCATTTGAATCCCTGAACAGACTAACTAGAGGACATCCCCAAGCTCTGGATGTGGCTATCCCAGCCCCCTGGGCACCAGTATGTGCTTATTGGGGGATGTCACAAGGCAGAAAATGAGGAGAGGAAAAGGGGAAAAGAAAGATGTTGGTTTTAGGAAGCTTGTAAGCCCGACACACATGGCCAGATAGCGTCACTGCTGAGAAACTTCTGGGTCCTGAGGGGGAAACACTGGTTCAGCGTGAGGTTGGGTATCAGCAGGAGCAGCACATGGGACCAAAGGACCATGGTGTTATGAGCAGTTCTAAGATTCAGGCAGAAGTAAGAAAGGTGGGGAACGCCTGGGTGCCTCAGCGGTGGAACATCTGCCTTCGGCTCAGGGCGTCAGCCCGGGGTCCTGGGATCAAGTCCCACATCGGGCTCCCTGCATGGAGCCTGCTTCTACATCTACCCGTGTCTCTGCCCCCTCTGTGTGTCTCTCATGAATAAACAGATAAAATCTTAAAAAAAAAAAAGAAACAGTAAGAAAGGTGGAGAACAGGAAAAGAATGGAAGCTGAATCAAAGAGAGTGGAGGCATAGAATGAAGGGCACAAGTATAAGAAGGTAAGAGAGTGGACCCCAGGAGATGGGGGTATTATCCCCCACTGATGTTTGAGAGCACGGTCCCTGTGCCACAGGGCGCTTGATGCTGCATCCAGTAGTGGACAAAGAAGGGACTCAGGAGACTTTGGTTCCATTCCCAGATCCTTTGGTCAATCTGGAAAAGTCATTTCCCCTCTTTGGACCTGTTTCCGTGTCTGTACAATAGGGAGAGGAATAGACTGGCCTCTGGTCCAGTTCACCCCAAGGGCTTAAGTTTTTTGTGATAAGGGACAAAGGAGCTGTCAATCCCTCCGTCTAAGGGCAGGGAATGCACCTCCACCCTTCAAAACTGAGCAAAATGAACTGCCGAATAACCCCCGATGCCGACTCTAACTGTTCAGTTCTCTTACCCCTTCCTGAAGCACCGACCTCAAGGGGAAACACAAAGATCCCCACACATCGCACACTGACAACGATCCACAGAAGCACCTGCCGGCACCCGGGAACCCGAGGGACGGCCGTGGGCTGGGGACACAGGGTGCCTAACTAGGTGGCCCAGACCGAACTCGCAGCCCAGCCCAAACCTATCTCTGGACGGCGCAGGCCCCAGTCAGCGAGCCTCATTGTTCCACAGGAAAGGGAGTTTACAAAGGAAACAAAACCTCTCAGAAGCCGCGGGGGAGGCCAGAGCCCTGACTCCAGAAGGATCCAGCCAACCAACAGACAGGTCCTGCCCCTGGGAATAGGCGCTCAGTCAACAACATTTTTTAAGGACTTTCGAGGTAGCCACCCCAGAAAGGAACTCGACGTGCTGTGCTCTGAGAAAGGGGAGACTTCGCATTTATTTCCTCTAAGGACTCTGCACCCACTTTCCCCAGAGCAACCACTGCCACCCAAAGACCGAGGGAAGCTACGCAAGAACACTCCCGGCAGCAGATGCCCCCCAACCCCCCCCAGCCCCCCGCCCCGCTTCACCTCCACTCGGTTTCCCCCAGCCCCTTCGGGAGCAGAGCACCAGGGCCAAGGGAGGGAGCGAGATGCGCGGGGGCGTGTTGGAGGGCAGGAGGGCCCTTCCCGGGGGCATGAGGAGGGGCCCCCCCCGGGGGGGTGCAGGGCGCTCCCAGGCGGGGAGGCTGGGGGAGGGGACCCGCGGAGGAGGGGGGCTGGGGGAGGGGGGCTGGGGGAGGGGAGCCGCGGAGAAGAGAGGGCTAGGGGAGGGGAGGCTAGGGGAGGGGGGGCTGAGAGAGGGGAGCTGGGGAAGGGGGCCCGCGGAGGAGAGGGGGACTGGGGGAGGGGAGGCTAGGGAAAGGGGGGCTGGGAGAGGGGGCCTGGGAGAGGGGGCCTGGGAGAGGGGGCCCCCGGATGAGGGCCAGGGCTGGAAGGGGACTAGGAAGGCGAGGCTGGCAGCCCCCGACTCCTCCCCTCCCGCGGGCGAGGGGCGCGGGGGGCGCCTCCCCCCGGCCTGGGACCCGCCGCGCCGGTTCCTCCCGAAACCCGGGGAGCTTACACAGGATGACCGATGCGAGGAGAGGGAGCTGACTCGTCCCGCGCGTCGCCTCGGTGCCCATGTCGCCCAGGATCCCGACCCGACGCGGCCGCTGGAGCCCGGGGACAGACGCCGCCTGCCCCGCCGCCGCCCGCCGACTGCGCCGCGGCCGCCAGGTTGGGCCCCGCCCGGCCCCGCCCCCCGCGGCGATTGGCCGGCGCCCCGGGCCGCGCGTTCCGATTGGCGGAGCGAGCCGCCGCTCCGCGGGGTGACTCACCGTCGCCAGGTGCAGCCGCGCCCCCTGCCGCCCGCCCCGCGGCCCCGGCGCCCGGCAGACACCAGCCGCCTCCGATTGGCCGGGGCCCCGCGGCGTCGGCGGAGCAGGCTCACCTGCGGCAGGTGAGGGCGCCCTGATTGGGCGGCGAGCCTGAAGCAGGGGCCCGCGGACTGGCTGCGCCCTGAGCTCCCCCCGGAGGCCGAGGGGACCACCTGCAAGGAGGCGGGGGCGGCGCCGCGAGACCGCCCGGGGCGTGGAGGGCTACCGGGCCGCGACCGCGTGGGCCCCGCCCCCGCCCGCAGCGCGGAGCCTCGGGGGGCGCCGCAGGGGGGATGGGGAGAGGGGAGGGAGCCCTCTACCCCAGAATGGGCGACGCTGGAGTCCATCCTCCCAAGAACTTTCAGCGCCACCCCGCGTGTGCACGGACGCACCCAGGTGGTAGACGCCGACCTCCGGACCGATGCCCTGTGACATCCCCCGGCGGGGCTGGTCTGCCTGTCGCTCCGCACCTTCGATCCGCCGCGGAGCCCTGCCTTCCAGAATGGTCTCTCCTCTCGGGGACTAACGGTTGCGTGTCAAGCCCCTCCGGCCACAGACTGTTACTCCTCGAGCCTCCTGTTAGTACGTATAGGATCGTCTCCTTTTTCATCGAAACGCTCGCTCGTCACCCTGCTGCTAGCCTTAACCTACAATGATTCCATTTCAGCTGCCCTTGCCTGGTTGGAAAGCTTCCTGAACGTTGTTATTTCATTGCAAGCAAGGAGTCCGCTCCTTTATGCAAAACGGTAGTGTTCCTGGACCTCGGGGTTCTCGCACTTTCGCTCTCAGTCCTGGGTCCACATCTGGGGGCGCCTAAGGCCCTCTTCTGGTTCCGCTCCACTTAGCGGGCCGCCTGGGCCGCCTGGGCCGCCTGGCGGTTGGGGACCTGCCTGCCGCTCAGGTCGTGGTCCTGGGGTGGGAGATGAGTCCTGCATGGGGCTCCCTGCTGTGCACCCCCCCTCGAATAATTACATAAATCTAATAAATAAATAAATAAATAAATATAAATAAATAAATAAATAAATAAAGCAATGGTTATCAAGCACCTGGTGGTGCTGCTGGGGAATACAGATGAATGGAAACCATAGTCTCTAACCTCAGAAGGCTTCCAATCCACTTCCAAGACTAATCCAGGAAACAAGACAATAGGTAACCGAAAGAAACTTCGTGTTACTAAATGGAAACAAGTACTTGAGTACCTGCCATGTGCAAAGTGCTGTTCTTTACCCTCAAGGGAATGTAACACCTTGAAGACAAAGCCAGATACCAGGGGAAGGAAGAGCCAGGAGAAGGAACAAATCACTGGGGGCTGTGAGTGTCAGAGAAAACTTCAAGATGGGGAGCTTGGGCAAGAGGTAAAAGCTCCAACACTGACCAGAAGTCTTTTAGGTGAAAGGGTTATCTTAGAGATTATTTAGATCATCCTCTTGCCCTACAGCCTCCTGCCCTACATGTGTGTGCCGGAGGTCCACACAACCACAGAGAGATGAGACAGCCTCTGTTGAAACTCTTTTCTTTTCTTTTCTTTTCTTTTCTTTTCTTTTCTTTTCTTTTCTTTTCTTTTCTTTTAAGATTTTATTTATTCATGAGAGACACAGAGAGAGAGAGGCAGAGACACATGCAGAGGGAGAAGCAGGCTCCATGCAGGGAGCCTGATGTGGGACTTGATTCTGGAACTCCAGGATCATGCCCTGGGCCGAAGGCAGGTGCCAAACTGCTGAGCCACCCAGGGATCCCCCCATTCTGCTTTTTGTACAACTCTTTAACTGTTAAAATATCCTTTCTGGAATCTGCTTCTTGGTTACCTCCAGCCTCTGCTCTCCGGAGTTACACAAAATAATCTCATTATCCTTTGCCAATGACAGCCCTATCTTTAAATATTTTAAGATTCTTATTATGAGCCTTCTAAGTCTTTCCTTCTCCAAGCTAAACATCTTTAAATCCTTCAAAGAGTCTTCATCTGGAATGGTTTCACAAGCCTCCCACACCCCCTTCACAACCCACCCTCTGCCCGGAGATAATCTCTTGTTTTTTACTGAACCAAGATCTGAACCAGGCACTGGAGAAATCATCTCTCCATGAGATGGACAGATCTCAATTCAAATCCTGTCCCCCTAGTTTCTAGTTTCTAGCTAGTCCTTGGCCAGCTCACATCTCTCTGAAAACTTCTGCATCCAGAAGGTAGTTATGATGACAGTAATACCTTCCAGCAAAACAAGGACTAAATAATATAACACACATCATATGCTTAGCACAGCACCTGGTCCATGTTCAGCACTGCCATGATGGCTGTTTCCATCACTTGCATTTACAGCACAAGAACTCATTCACAGATACAACAGCCATATCACACTGCTGAGTTAGTTATAGTCACCTTGTGGCAAACTAAAACCCACAAGCCTTGGGCACCTGGGTGGCTCACTGGTTGGGCATCTGCCTTTGGCTCAGGTCCTGATCCCTGGCGTCCTGGGATCAAGTCCTGCATCAGGCTCCCCATACGGAGCCTGCTTCTCCTTCTGTCTCTCTCTGTGTATCACTCATGAATAAATAAATAAAATCTTTATTAAAAAAACCCACAAGCCTTTATTTTCACTCGTACTACTAAGTCTCTCACATCCTGTATTTGTACAGTTGTTTCTTAACTAAAGTGCATTTGTTTTTAACCGTATTTAATTTAATACTTTTTGCTTTGAAAGTAAAATATTAACATAGAAAAGTAAACATCAAAATAATGTCAGTGGTTAATATTAAATGAAAAAAGTAAATACAAATAGTATGCATCCTAGTTATTTCTGTACAAAATATTTGTGTATACAAGTATAAAACATGAAAGTAATTTTGGAGCATGCAAATGATTTGATATTCTCCAGGTTCCTTTTCCCATAAAGCTGCTTGTATAAGTGATAAGTTTATAAATCCCATTGTCATTGATATTTATTTCTTGTAGTCTTTGTGTGTGTGTGTGTGTATGTGTGTGTGTAACCCAAGTGGGACACAAATCTTAGAGTCTTTTTTTTTTTAAGGTTTTGTTTATTTATCATGAGAGACACAGAGAGAGAGAGAGAGGCAGAGACACAGGCAGAGGGAGAAGCAGGCTCCATGCAGGGAGCCTGACATTGGACTCGATCCCGGGACTCCAGGATCACACCCTGGGCTGAAGGCAGGCCACCCAGGGATCCCTTAGAGTCTTTTTTCAAAGATTTTATTTATTTAAAAGAAAAAAGAGTATTTATTTAAGAGAAAGAGCACCAGCGGTGGGGGGGGCAGAGGAAGAGGGAACAGCAGACTCCCTGCTGAGCGGGGAGCCCAATGTGGGGCTTCATCCCGGGACCCCAAGATCATGACCTGAGCCAAAGGCAGGCACTTAACCAACTGAGCCACCACCAAAACCTAGGGTCACCTATATCTGTTGACTAATTCTCATGTGTCATTCATGGATTTTTTTTTCTTTTTTCTTTTCTTTTTTTTTTTTCCATTCATGGATTATCTTGAAAGAAGTTTCAGGACAGCCCTGGTGGTGCAGGGGTTTAGCGCTGCCTGCAGCCCGGGGTGTGATCCCAGGGTCCTGGGATGGAGTCCCGCATCGGGCTCTCTGCATGGAGCCTGCTTCTCCCTCTACCTGTGTCTCTCACTCTCTGTAAATAAATAAATCTTAAAAAAAAAAAAAAAGGAAGTTTCCATGGAGTAGTGGGATAGGCAATAAAACCTGCATGGAGTAGGCTGAGAGAATATAAATTAAGGAAATAAAGACAGTGATATAGGGGCACCTGGGTGGCTTGGTCAGTTAAGCACCTGTCTTCAGCTCAGGTTATGATTCTGGGGTCCTGAGATCAAGCCTTGCATTGGGGCTCCCTGCTCAGCAGGGAGTCGGCCTCTCCCCCTCCACTCCTGCTCTCTCGATTTCTCTCTCTCAAATAAATAAATAAAATCTGAAAGGAAGAAAGAAAGCGACTACAGACGGTTCAACCCAGATTTTGCTGGGAGGACAACAGAGAAAAGGAGCAGCAGCCCACAGGGTAGTTAGAGGAAGTCAGAGTAGGTGTTTTGTTTGCATGGAAACACTGCATGCCAGCCAATAGCAATGATCCAGCAAAAAGAAAAAAATAATCACAGAAAAAAAGAATCATAAGAAAGAGGGGACAGTTGCAATACCAAGTTCCTGAGGAGAGAGGAGATGGGACATTCAAGTTGAACATTAAAAGGGGGCAGAGCTAACCATCCCATCCTCTGCAACAAAAGGGAAGTGCATGACACAGCTAGTTCCTCTGTTCATGGGAAGAGGATTGATTTCTGTTCTCAGGGAAATATAAGGCAAAGTCACTAGGAAAGAGTGCAGAGGGAAAAGGAAGTTCAGGAGATCGAAAGAGTGGGGAGAGCCTTCTGCACAGATAGCACTCTCGCAAATATGAGCATTCCTAGAACCTGCTAGACTTTCTGTGACAAGTGTGGTGAGCACTAGCCCACAAAGTGACACAGTGTGAGAAAGGCTAAAGATCCTCCATAGGCTCAGGGAAGCAGCATCACACAGGAAGCAGAGTGGCCATGGTGGGCAGATGAAGCTCATTTTCCAATAAAAGCCTTCTTCTACAAAGAAGATCCCACCGAGGCTTGAATGTGTTGGGCCCAACTGCAGATCTCAGAGAATGCTGGCTATTAGGAGATGGGAGCATTTTGAATTGGGAGATAAGAAGAGGAAGAGGCCAGTGATCCAGGTCTAAGTTTCCTATTTTATTTTATTATGAAGACAATGAAATCTTGAGGTTGTGTTAAAAAAAAAAAAAAAACAAATTCAGGGTGGGGAGAAGTGGAGGTGAGAATTGAACACAGTAGGGGGACACCTGGGTG